ACTGGTCTATCCGTTTCTTACCGGTAGACCGATCAAACCGGTAGACCGGCCGGACTGGTTTCATCTCTGGACTGTGTAACATGGAAATACTGTTTGAAAGTGGTAAAAAAATGATTCTTTCGTATACTTTTCAATAGGTGAATTAGACATAGAATTAGAAAAGTTTGTAGAATGTGCGAAAGAAGAAGAAGGTTGATCATTTGAGTTTAATATTAAAAGTTCACAATCATCCATTAATATTTTGAATCAATAGAAAATCTCCGTAAAATATTTGATTTGGTTCTTTTTAATATCGAACTAGAAAAAAAGACTGGAAAGGATTTTTAAACAAACACTAGTATATAATAAACTTAGAAAGAAAGTAAAAGTAAATAAATAAATGCGGAAACCTCGGATTTACATCCGAGTGTTATGTGTACTCAAAAAGAGACAGAATATATTCACTTTGTTTTTTTTTAATATTATTTAACTTAGGTACAAATGAAATTTGTTTTAAATCTGAAACAATCGTTTTATTAAATTTAAATTTCAGAAAATTTTCATATTTAATATATTTTTTATGAACATAATTAATAAGTCGGTATAAAGGACATGTTTGTCCAGGTCGTTAAGAATATCCTGAAATTGGTTTGAGTATTGAATTAATTAATACTCTAATAAATGTTTCATTTGAGTATAATGCTGAAAATTGAAGTCTTTCAAATACAATTCTTCTTAAAAATGGAATCATTTCACTTGATTTACAAAACCTTTCATGATTTATTTTACTTAATGATAAATATGTATTTAGTTGTTTACATAATTCTAATGAAACTAATATTAATGGTGTCAATTCTCTATGAATTTTTTGATAAATAAATATTTTGATCTATTTACTCAAGAGCAAAATCAATCGCTCACTAAAGTCTTGAAATTGGTCATAACACTTGTATTCGTATTTTTTTTTGGTTTACTTTTTGTGTCTTATTAATTAATGTCAACTAATTCTGAAACATCTGATCGTGAATCAGTTGTTACCGACAACGATGAACGAACAACAAATGGTGAGAGTAATCGATCAAGACCTCCCATCAAAAGCACAATTATTATTTCAAAAAATCATCCGTTGGGCCTGATTGGTAATATATTTTTAATTTAAAAACTAAAACGAATATTTTTATTATTAGAAAAAAATGTTCAAGGCTGTTTTGTTACTGTGAATCGATTAAAACATTTTGGTTTTATCAAAAGGTAATTATGATTCTTCGTTTTTATTATTTTATTTTATTTTATTTTTTTTCTAGCAAAAGTGAAACTCCTTCATCTGATGTTTTTGCACGAGAAGCCTCAATTCTTGATAAGGTGCGCCCGAAGAAGTTTTTTGTGGGTGACAAATGTCGTTTTGATCTTATTAAAAGTGAGTTATTTAACCATAATCGTAGTATAGATAAATAATATCTTTTTTTCTTACAGCGCTTCGAGGCTACGAAGCCATCAATATTGACATACTCGAACGAAATATCAATTCCATTAACAAGTTAGGAAAAATTCCGATGAAAAAAAAAGATACAGAGCCAAAACAAACAGAAATATCTAATGACCTATTCCAGTCAACATTGTAAGTGTGATTCAATTTATTTTTAATTTGGTATAAACTAAATTGGATTATATTTTAGGGCAATGCTTTTTCGTGAAGCAATAAATAAAAAGTAAATCCACTTAATCGTCGATTGATTTATTACAACTACAAAATCAACCTGACGTTTGCTAAGATTTTAACAGCTGAACAAAATAACTTTGTGAAAATGATCTTTTGTCGTAAAAAGTTGTGAAAAATATTTTATCTTTTGTCGTAAAAAATTGTGAAAAATATTTTATTTTTTCCTTAATAAATACTTTATCTTTTGTTTAATAAATACTTAACGAAAAAAACATGTTATCTTT